TCCCTCTCTCACACATGAACACAAATGTACACACCCCATTGAGGTAGACCTTGAACAATACACTGGGAGTTGCCTGACATTCACTGCTGGGGAGAATATGATAATAGATATTTCGTAGGCAGGGCCTGTTCCTTTCCTTGCCTCTCCTCATCTCTTTGTCTTTCCCTGTTGAAAGCCAAAGATACAGGGGTGGGAAAAAGCAGATTTATAGCTATAATCATAAAATAATTAATAAGAAATAAATAATAAAATAATTAATTGGTAAAATAATGAATAAATCATAAAATAATTCATTTTTTAAAAGAATAAACTCACATACTCCCAACTGTAAACCAACTTTTGCCTACCTTGTATGTTAGACCTTATACTGACTATATTTTTTCCTGACTATATTTTTTCCTACATCATGAATTGGGAGGTAGTGGAGTCTCTGACCCTGAAAGTGAGCAACCAGCCCACAGAGAATTCCTGTCATCATTCTCTGAGACGTTCTCTGCATAGGGTAGAGGTTGGATAGAATTATGTAGAAAAGATATACAGATTTTGATATTTTGTAAGTGTCATGCACACTTCTGTTTTGTGTTTATGTATATATCCTTGTTGTATTTCTACCCTTTTATTTGTTATCTCTGTGTCCTCTCAATGTAATTTTTATTACTGCATTTTCATGCAGACATTTCTATTAATAGCTCAATATTGTTCACCTATCTTTCTCTGAATTCTACTTGTTCTATTCTGTGTATTACCTTTTTTAACAGTTTCCTCTTACTATTGTAATTTTTGCTTGCCCACATATCATACTGAATAACAGATGAGTAGTTTAGAAACAATTTTATAATATTCCACTACAAATTATATGTGTATATTGAATATAAATTAATTCTGTGCTTATGAAACAATTGTTTTAATATACACTGTTTTTAACCACAAAGCACTATCACTGATTTGTATTTCCTTTACATTCTTACTGAGGTACGAGAATATAAAAGAATAATATTTCACTGGATTTTATTTATCTATTAATTTATTCAATAAATATTTGTCAAGCACTTATACATAGTATTTATAGGAGATTCTCAATATATACTTGTTGAATGAATGTGTACGATGTGCCACACATTGTCTTAATAGCAGAAACACAGAGGTGAATAAGATATGCAAGGTCCTTACTCTAGGGAGCTTTCATTCAGGGGTGTGTATGTGTGAGTGTCTGTGTTTCTATTTGTAGTGGAATGTAGAGAGTGATAAAAAAGTAAACAGATAAAGTAGTTTATACTGGTGATAGAGGCTAGGATCCAGTGAATGTCTCAGTAACTCAGACCATTAGATTAATTATGAGGCCTGTGTTTTTACTTGTCATTGGACTGAGCCAAGGACCCTAAATAATCTTGTTGTGAGGCAAGACCACACCCAGCTGTCCCTGATCCAGTGCTTCCTCATTGTCTGCTTCTGCAGGAATGAGATTCAAGAGCTGTCCCACTGCTGCCCCCTGCACAGGTACATCAGCCCTTCCCACCTCCCCTGTGGGCTTCCAGAGCTCCTTCTCTCCCACCAGGGGTGGTAAGAAGGTGTTGCCACCTTGTCAGACAGAGACAAACTCCAACTCAGGGATGGAGACACTGAATGCTCAGAGCGAGTGGAGGTTTGGCACAGTGGCTCCTGGGGCACAGTGTGTGATGACTCCAGGAGTCTGGCAGAGGCTGAGGTGGTGTGTCAGCAGCTGGGCTATGGCTCTGCCCTGGAAGCCCTGCAGGAGCCCCAGGAAATGGGCACATCTGGCTGGATGAGGTTCAGTGTAGGGTCAGGGAATCTTTCCTGTGGGCCTGTGTTCCAGAGCCCTGGAAGCAGAGAAATTGCCAGCACAAGGGAGATGCTGGAGTGAGGTGCTCTGGTGAGTTAGAGGTCAGGATTTTGAGCTATGACTGAAGGAGAAATTACTTTGTACCCAAAAGCACTTCCTCAATTAACCTGCTGTTCTGTGCTCTGGCTGCAGGAGAGACTACTGCCTAATCTGTGATAGAAAGGACACCCATGTATTTAGAGGCCTGAGCAATGGAATTAACATATTTCTGGCAAAATTAATCATGTCAGTATAGGAAAGACCTATTGATCAGGAATTTATAATTCTACAAAGTTGTGGCAGCTGTGATTCTCCAAAGCTTTACAGGCTAACATTTTATAAAAATCCCTTAAAACCAGGTTTAGTTTGGGTTGACAAAGCTCAGGGCCAGACCTGGGTTGATCACATCTTGGGGTTCAGGCAGACCCACTATATCTGAATGGTGATTTCATGGTCTTGAGGACTCAGGAGATGACCAGGAAAAAGGGAGGTTCTAGCAATTCCACTGCTGGGACTATATCCTAAGAACACTAAAACACCAATCCAAAAGAACCTATGCACCCCAATGTTCATAGCAGCACAATTTACAATAGCTAGGTGCTGGAAGCAACCTAGATGCCCATCATTAAATGAATGGATCAAAAAACTATGTTACATTTACACAATGGAATTCTATGCAGCAGAAAGAAAGAAGGAGCTCCTACCCTTTGCAGCAGCATGGATGGAGCTGGAAAGCATTATGCTAAGCGAAATAAGCCAGGCAGTGAAAGACAAATACCATATGATCTTACCTTTAACAGGAACCTAAACAACAAAACAAAGAAACAAGCAAAATGTAACCAAAGACAGTGAAATAGAGGACAGGCTGACAATGACCACAGGGGAGAGAAGAGGGAATTTCAGCGGAGAATGGATAGGGTTTACAGGAACAAATTTAAAGGACACATGGGCAAAAACTAGGGGGAGGGTGGTAATGGGAGGGAAGTGTGGAGCATTGGGTGGGTGGGCTGGATTGGGAGTAAAAGGGAGGAAACTGTACTTGAACAATGATTTAAAAAAGCTGGGGGAGGTTCTCCTGGACTTATGACTCTCTCTAAAATTACATGCATTACCCTCTTCTCTCCTCTGGCACCAAGTCAGATCAGCTCATCTCTGGTATCTCCTCCTTACTGAGATCCTCTGTAGCATACTGGGGTCTCTTCTTTTCTGGCCCTTACCATCCTGGGGATTCAGCTACAAAGACAGACAGCAGAGCCCCATAGTGCGATGTAGGGAGGCTAAGTGATCTGGAAAGTAGTGAGAAGGGTATTGAACCAGTCAGTTGTGATATCAAGAAAAGTGAAGAAGTATTGATCTTCATCCCATTATCTGGAAAAACTCTACTTTCTCTTCAAAAGACCAAAATTTGAAGGAATTTAATCCTTTTTCCTGAGTTGAATGTAAAACTGCTCAATAATTTTTGAGTCCTTAAAAAAATTATGACCTCCTATGTGAATAGTGCCCACAGAATTCAGTGTAGGATCAAAAGCAGGGTTGGGAAACTGAAGTCTGTCCCAAATGGGCAAAGGGCTAAGTAAGGGGACGTGGTAGTCCGCAGGAGGTTTTCCAAGGATGAGCATAGGAGAACACTGAAGGCTTTGTCTCTTGGTAAAGTGAACATCTGCAGGGCAGTCTCTACACTTGTGTCACTTTCCTCTGCTTTATCTGCTGTCAAAGATGCTCCCGATGAGGTCATGTACCAGGAGACTGATTACTCTGTAAAACCAGAGAAGGAGGACTTGTCAGACAGCTCAGGTGGGTTCCATACCTTCCCCTCTGTTCATGAGTTGGCCTTGGGTTATCTTCAGCAAGCACAGAACCAACCACCAATTCAACCTCACACAATCAGCCTCCTCCTAACCCAAGGGCTGAAAGCCCTCTCTCTACAAGTCTGAAGTCTCAAGTTTCTTTTTGAACAATGACATTGCATCTCCTACTACAGGAAAAGTTTTTCCATTCCTCTGTAATGTTTTTCTCCCTATCAGGAAACCTGTCTGATGACTCAGTGACTAAGATGCTTTATTATACAGGGGACAAGGAGGGGAATGGAGACTCTGACTCTGCCCCAGATAGTAGAGACTGGTCTTCCCTTGGAAGATGGGGATGAAAAAAAAGAATATCTCTGAGAATTCCTCCTATGATTAGGACAGAAAGGATCCCTTCTCTCCAGTTTACAATTTTCTTCTGTCTGTCCACTCTGTGACCACAGAAAGAAAAGATCAGGCTGAGTTCTCTGTATCCACAGCTACTTCTACTCAGTTATAAACATGCATCTATTATTACAGATTCAAAGGCCATTTATTAAAACACCTAAGACTGATAACCTTAAAAATTCTGTATCAAGAGAGAACATTGGGAAGTATGTTTGGATCCTGAGATAGTATGCTATTTGGATCATTTAGTGGATTATGTGTATATTGATACAAAAAATTATTTTAATAAACCCTGAAATACATTGGAATGTTTGGTGCCTATACTTATCAACTACCAGAAGCTCTTATTTATAAGGGATTTAAGAGAAGAATGTTCTCCTGGATCTTCTCCAGATAATAACAAAGAACAGCTTTTGGGAGGAAGCAGGGCCAGAAGAGTTCCTGGAAAATAAATTCTGAGGTCAACCGAGCTCTAGAGGGGATTAAAATCCAGAGCTCCTGTGACAGGGACTGGTGGGATTTTCTGCCCCTTAGTGGTCTATATCCTGGCTTCCCTCACCCTGCAAGTTCTGTATCTCCTACAGCTTCAGAGGTGACATGGACAGCCTGGGTTTTCTTGGTCCAAATTTGTTCTTTCATTATTCACTGATATGTGCATATTACATGTTACAACTCTGTACCATATGCTTGAAAATAGTACCTGAATATCCTATCAAAATAACTTCTGTTAATCTTTTATGGTATAAGAGCCTATGTTAAAAAATATTATTGACCTTGACATATTGGAATACTTAGAATATTTAAATAATGTCTGAGAATATTGAGATCAAATACATACCTTTGAGACAATCATGGAATATGGTATCTATATTTATTAGCTATTAGAATCTCTGCATTAGAAGAGACTTAGAGCATCACCTTGTCCAATCATATTTTGATATTTCACCTACATCCTTGTCTGTTTTCAGAGCCCCCAGTACAACATGTCAATGCCATAAGAAACAGTTATGATGATGTTGAAGAGTTACCTGTTCCTGAAATTCTTTCTTCCCCTGACATGAGGGAGAATTGTTTTTTCCCAAAAGAGGGAGGTGATGTCTGCTGTTCTCAAAGAGGTGAGTGGACAGCTTGGTCTCCAGTAGCCTCATTTCCTTGTGATGGAGAAGATGAGTATGGGCCGATTGACAGTTAGGTTTTCTTTATTTGGATACTTAGTTAAGATGAGCTCTCCTTTATCCCAGTATATTGTAACCATTTCATCTCTTCTTTTTTTTTAATTACTTTTTTGTTGTTCTATTACAGGTGTCTGCATTTTCCTCCCACCATCCCTTCCTCCCCAGCCAAACCCACCGCCCTCCCTTGCTTCCACCCTCACCTTTGGTTTTGTCCATGTGTCCTGTATAGTAGTTCCTGAAAACCCTTCTCCCCACTATTCCTGTCCTCCCTTCTGGCTATTGTTAGATTGTTCTTAATTTCAACATCTTTGGTTATATTTTGTTTGCTTTTTTCTTCTTTATCACAGTATAGTGTAGCCATTTCATCTTCTCTGGGAGGAGAAACATATTGTGTGCACGTCCACCATCAACTGATGTAAACATCTCTATGAGTTGCAAAGACTTTGTTCCCATTTTATACTCAAGCTGAAATATATGTTCTGACAATAATTATGGTGTCTCCTTCAGATTGTGAAAAGGAATCTGGAAAGTTTTTCAATATGAATGTAAATTAAATTTATGAACTATTAAAATTTGTTTTGGGAGAACCATGTAACCAAATATTTTAAGTTTGCATTGCCCACTATTAACTCAGAATATGCAGTGGCTTAAATTAGAGTCATAACATCTCAGCCCTGAAAGGAAACTAAGATACAATTTTCTCTCAACATTTCAATTGACAGAAACCTTCATTCCCTAGGACTAGGCTTTCTGTTTATATGTGAGCATGTGGCCCTGGGCAGCAGGGGTATCTGACTGAGCTGCTCCCTTTCAGCATCTGACAGAGGACCCAGGATGTTCTCATGAAGCTTTTAGGCAGATTTGGTCTGTACTGAGGTGTTGAGGCAAGGTCACCTGAGGTGCTCTAGAAAGAACATCTCCTGCCTCCATTTATTAAGAAATCAGGTCACTGGTGTGGAAAAGAGCATTCATGTCTTTTTTCCTCTCCTTGTCATTATTCATCCACCTCCTTCCAAACTGTGGAGATCAAGACAATACTACACAGAGAAGCAGAATCAGTCTAAAGGAGCTCTATCTAGCCTTTCACAGAAACTCTGAGCCCTCACAGATATTTGGTAGCCACTTTGTACTAGTCTCCTTCCTCCAAAGGATTCTGTCTTGTCTTTTTGTCACCACTGACATCAGAATTCTCCTTACTGTTTCAGGCATCTCTCTCCAGTCTCCTAGTGAAGCTGTCAACACTAGCATGGAAGAGAAAGGGTCCTGTTTGGTCCTGAGACAAGAAGACCTTGGGTATGATGATGTTGAGCTTAGCACCAGGTAGCACCATTCTTGGAGCAAGTAACTCTTCAAAGAATCCTCTGTAACATTGTTTTTCAATAAATGAGGGTCCTGTCTTCTTCCTTACTGCAGAGTTTTACCTGTACCTATGATGAAAGGAAATTATTCATAATAAATACTCTGAGCTTCATAGATAAATGCTATTCTTTAAGTATTTAGGTATTTTCACCCATCTCATCATGGAAAATTTAATCTAGAAACATTCTTCTTTCCTCAAGTGAAGTCTCAGTTGAACAGTCAGTGTTATCACCTCCCCTCAGATGACACTCTCACCTTCCTTTAGGATCAGAGAAGGTCACACCTTCCTTGACCACCGTAAAACTCAGAAAACTGGCCCTGAACTGGGTGTTTACTCTTAGGAAGATAAACTCAGAAACACATAACTGAGCATTTCAAAATATTTCACCTCTCTCTAAATCCTAAAAGAGAGGTTCAAAGTGAAGGTTGGTAGGTAGAAGGGAAATGGTGGCAGCCCTTCTCATTTAGCTCAGATTTTATAAAATATTAATGACATACATCTACTACTACACAGCAATATCTTTTACTCTAACTGCCTTTTTTATGGTCTAGTTATATCCTAACATCCTAAATCTCCACCATTTCCAACAAACTGTGTCTTTTCACAAGATACAGTCTGTGTTCATAAACCTATCATTTTCTCTCTTTTTTTTAACTCTATCTCTTTTTCATTCTCTTCTCTCACTGTATTTGTGCAGACACCAAACAATTCTAACCTCCCTGATTACAAGAGCTTTTTAAGTGGCTCTATTTATTTTCATCTCTTTGTATCCCAAAGGATTATTATATATTACTTGATCATCATCAAAAGAAAGAGAGGAGAGAAGAAGGACAGGCAAGCCAAAAAGATGTAATTTTCTTGCCTAAAAAGCACTACTACTCTATAACCAGCTATACTAAGTTTCCAAAATTAAGTTATTTGCATGCCAGCATAATGAATATTCCCCTACGTGCATTTTAACTGTATAACTATATAACCAAGATCTTCTTTACATTTACTATCTTAAAAAGATAAATATTTTGTTCAATAGTAGAATATATATTATTATCAAAAATATCTATAAAATAATAGAAATTTTTCTGAACTTCACAAACTATACGTACATTTACTTTTCAAAAACTTCCCATGTGCTACCTAAAAATCAAAATTTGGGAAACAGCACACTACATTAGAAAACTCAAAACCCATATCCTATGAAGCTCTCCACATTTGGAACTCTCTCTCTTTAGCATCATTAGCTAGTTCCTTACAGTTGTTTTAGGAACAAGCAATACTGAACTGCTGAGCATTTCCTAAACCATCGGGTTCTGTTGAAACTGTGTTTTATATGTGTTTCTTCTCTCTAAAATGATCTTTTTGTCTCTACATTCTTTGTCTTTTTCTCTCTCATCTCTCCCAATGTTAAATAAGTTGTCATTTTTTACTCATTTCAGTTCAATAAGTGGAATCATCAAATATTTAATGAGATAAAGTCCTGCTGGAGAATATTTCCATATTCTGAGTAAAATTTGCATTTCATAGAATATATTTCTTTGTTATCACTACCACTTTTAAGAGGTTCATGTCTTGAGTGAATGTTATCTGACTCTTGTTATCACAATTCCTTTTTCCAGAAATGGTAAATCTAGGGTTGATTCTGTCCCTGTGTGCCACATTATTCAAACACAAGGGACAAACAGAGCAACTTCACTCTAGCTAACCAACAATAAGCTTTTAAATTTCTGACTTCATTCAGTCACCAAATGAGCACCACAACAAGTTCATTTATTGATGATCCCAGGTATTTTGCACATCGCTTTCATCTTTTTGTATATGCTGCCAGAAAAGTTTGACTGGATCTCTATAAGTGGCAATAATTGCCTGAACACATTCTGAGTTTTAATCCTGCAATAATTATTTCAACTAAACTATATTGAATAAATTTCTCAGTTAAAGAAGACTCAGCTCCCATTGAGAGGAAATAAGATTGAAAGAGAATTAAAACCTGTTTACTATGACAGAATCACACTCTTAATGGCAGCATAAAGCAAAGAGAGATCATGTCTTTGAGATGCTGAAGATCCTCTTGCTCTAAAGAGAATCTGAGAGAAAGACTTTGCACTAACCTTTGGATGAGGACTACTTTCCTGTCACTATCTCCTCTGATCTAGTGCATGTCAACCCATTAGTCCTACTGTCAGCTCTGGGCCAGAGTCAGGTAGATGGATCTGGAACAGTTGGGGAACATAGTTTTTCTGTTTAGGTATAAACCCAAGAATACAATTTACAGATCCAAATCAATATCCAAATTACAGCAAGAGAAATAAAGTGAAGAACTGCAAGGTAAGATTCTTGCATTCAACCCTCTATCCATCAAGAAAAGAATCATACAGAAATAAATGCTTAGCATGGAAGTAGTAAACATTAAACTTGAAAAATTATACAAAACAGTATAAAAGCTTAACATGACAAAAATCAAGATATAGAACTAGTCACCACAAAAACCTCCTTTATGCTACCTCTTTGTATAGCATACCTCCCACCCCAGCTCAGTCTTCTCCCTATCACCATCTCTATAGTTTTGTCATTTTATAATGTTATATAAATAGAATCATATAACTTTGGAATATAATGTTCTGCAACTTTTTTCACTAAGCAAAATACTGTTTAAACCTCTTTGGTTGTTGCATGTATAATTCATTCTTTTTTATTGGAGAAAAGTATCCCATTGTCCAGATGTATCAGACTTTGTTCAATCACTGACTTACTGAAGACATTTGGACTATTTCCAATATTTTGTTATTAGCAATAAAACTGCTAAGAACATTTGTTTACAGGTTGTTTGTGAAAATACATTTTTATTTCTCTGGGATAAGTGTCCAAGAATGCAATGGCTGCATCAGATGGTAAGTTCATGTTAGGTTGAAGACACTGCCAAAGTGACACTGGACCCTACAAGACACCTACTATATCAGGGCACACTACCACCACATTGAGTCAAAGCAGCCCTACCTAATACATAGAAACAAACACAGAGAGGGGAGACTGAAAAAATGAGGAGACAAAGAAATATGGCCCAAATGAAAGAGCAGAAAAGAACTCCAGAAAAAAACTGAACTCAATGGTTTAAACAATCTATCAGATGTAGTGTTCAAAACACTGCTTATAAGGATGCTCAAGGAACTCATTGGGTACTTCAACACCATAAAAAAGACCCCAACAGAAATGAAGGATATACTAATTGAGATAAAGAACAATTTACATGGAATCAACAGTGTAAAGGTGGCTATTACTTCCAATACTATGTTGAATAGAAGTGGTGAAAATGGACATCCCTGTCTTGTTCCTGACCTTAGTGGGAAAGCTTTTAGCTTATCCCCATTGAGTATGATGTTGGCTTAGTTTTCTCATATATGGCCTTTATTGTGTCCTTGAAGTATGCTCCCTCTACTCCCACTTTGCTGAGTGTTTTTATCATAAGTGAGTTCTGTATCTTATCAAATGCTTTTTCTGCATCTATTGATATGATCATGTGATTTTTGTCTTTCCTTTTGTTTATGAGATGTATTATGTTTATTGATTTGTGAATATGGAACCATCCTTGCATCCCTGAGATGAATCCCACTTGATCATGGTGTATGATTTTTTAGTGTACTGCTGGATGCAGTTTGCCAATATTTCATTGAGGATTTTAGTATCTGTGTTCATCAGTGATATTGGCCTGTAGCATTCTTTCTCTGTTGTGTCCTTATCTGGTTTTGGGATTAGGATGATGCTGACTTTATAAAAAGAGTTTGGGAGTCTTCCATCATTTTGGATTTTTTGGAATAGTGTGAGAAGGATAAGGTTTAGCTCTTCCTGAAATGTCTTGTATTCCTTCTGTGAAACTGTCTGGCCCAGGACTTTTGTGTCCTGTCAGTTTTTTGATTACTGCTTCAATTTCACCAGCTGTTGTCAGTCTGCTCAAGCTTTCTGCTTCTTGATTCAATTTTGGAAGATTATATGTTTCTAGAAGTTTGTCCATTTCATCCAGGTTTTCAAATTTCTTGGTATATAGTTGTTCTTAGTAATTTCTTATAGTCCTTTGTATTTAGTGCTATCAGTTGTAATCTCTCCTCTTTCATTTCTGTTTTTATTTGGGCCCTCTTTTTTTCTTGATGAGTCTGCATAAAGGCTTGTCAATTTTGTTTATCTTTTCAAAGAACCAGCTCCTGGATTTATTGATCCTTTGGATTGTTCTTTTAGTCTCTGTGTCATTTAATTCTGCTCTGATCTTGATTATTTCCTTCCTTCTACTCTCTCTGGGCTTTGTTTGTTGTTGTTCCTCCAGTTCTTGTAGCTGTAAAGTTAGATTGTTTATTTGAAATGTTCATCGTTTTCAGGTAGGCCTTTATCACTATGAACTTCCCTCTCAGGACTGTCTTTACTGTGTCCCATAGGTTTTGAACTATTGTGTGTTCATTTTCATTTATTTCTAGAGAAATTTTTATTTCTTCCTTCATCTCATTATTAACCTTTTCATATAAATCTCTTAGAGAAATACAAAGGGATTATTACATTGCATCACCAATGCCTTACAAGGTTCTTTATGAAAATAGTTCTTTCCACTTTTATTCATAGACCTCCCCCTCCCTAAAACCCAGATATTGCCAAGTGTCCCTTTAGTATCCACCCTTCAGATACTAAAGCTTTCACACAGAGCCAGGCTTGTCTACTTGACACTTCCCAGAGCACCTCTTAACAAGCTTTGCCAGCAGACTCCCTGAAAATCCCCTTCATACACAAATCCCAGTGGTAGGTATGGCTGGGTTCAAGGTGGGGCAGGGCTGGTAGTAGGAATGCTCAGAACTGCACTGCAGCTTTTCAGAAGCAGAGCTAGGATTCTGGCTCCAAAACCTTTGCTCTTTCCACTCTACTATTTGGCATCTGGTTAAAAACCATCACTTTTTTTTAATGATTTAAATAGAAACACAGATTCTATCTTATAATAAATTTAT